CCCCAAAACCCCAAAACCCCAAAACCCCAAAACCCCAGATCTGCATATTTTTATGGAATAAATTTAAAATTATGGAAAATCAAGAAGAGATCTCGAAGGAACAGTTTGTGAACCCTATTAATTGAGCAGTTTCAGCAGTTGATGAAATCGTCCAGAAGGGAGCAGATACTTTATACGATAAATATCTTCAGTCGATACTTCCAGCACATGAGTTAAATATTGTCACTGAATCCCTCAGGCATGTTCTTCGAAGCAACTTTATCGCCAGGGACCATGGAGAGCACTGGCATGATGATGAAGACCAGGAGGCTACCCAGCCTGTTGTGTGTAGATGGGCCAATGGTGAGATCCCTGTCGATACAAGAATCGTTATAAAAGTTCCTGAGGAGCCTGAAAGCCTAAACTTAATAAAAACTGCTACGAAAAGTATGTCAAGCTATATCAAGAAGAAGATGAAGTTGCTCAGCTCCAAGCAGAAAAGTTTCAAGGAGTTTAAGCCTAAAATAGAACATATCGATGAGACCGATTCTATGATTCCTCAGCTACGGAAAGCTAGAGAGAAAGAGAAGGAGCTAGGCGTTATTAACCCAGCCTTCCCACACCTTAACATGGAAGGACAAATCGATCGGCTGAGGAAAAAGGTTGAGAAAGATGCTAAAAGAAAGAAAATAGAGTCTGATATCAAAAAGAAAAAGAAAAAAGTTAATATCACCAACATGGCAACAGAGAATATAAATTTGGACAGAAATAAACCCTTCACAACGAACGATGAAGGACATCCGATCATCATAAAGGCTGTGAATAAAAACAGGCTGCCTCACAACGACGTGAGCACATCTACTAAGGTTAACTTAGACTCTTCTTCAGTAGAATATGGTAAGATAGATCACTTAAAGCATCTCTATGGAGTACCTGCTGGCCACCATATCCCTCCACCAAGTTTCGAGAATCCTCATCCGCTTGATACTGACGATGATGGAAATATGCAGGAGATTACGGCTCTGCAGCCACCGCCTTCACAAGTCCTAACTCTGAAATCAGGAGTTCTCCTAAACGAGAACGGCAACATCCTGAATGGGCCTGAAGCCGACCACAAAAGCCGTATGACCAAGGAGATGTATCAGACCACGCTTGGCAACCAGTCTATGCAGAGGAAGAAGTTCCACGAACAACGTTTTAGAGAGAAAGCCAACCTGAATTCTAGCCCTCAGACTGGCCACAATAACAGCACCGGGAGGATAAATCTGAAATATGGTTCGACTGGTAAATTTTCATTGAAAAAGGGGTACAAAAAGATGCTTAAGAGAAGGATTGACAACATTACTGGGTCAGCTCAGAAAGACACCGTGCTGATCAACCAGTCCAATACATCCTGGAAAGATGAGATTATTATCCAGGATAGCAGGAACCTGAAGACTACTGACTCTAAATTCTCGATAAATATGAACGAGTCTTTTGTATCTCTCCATGGAGAAAGGTACAATACTCAGATTAGTAACCGCTCTTTGTCCCAGAAGTCCTTCAAGGAGGCTCTAGAGAAGAAGAGACCAGGAACTGTTGAAGAAGCATACCAGATTCCTAAGATAAAGATGAAGAGTGGAATGCCCTTACTTGGCATTAAGAGGCCAAGGAACAGGAATTTTAGCACCAAATCCAAAGACCATAACTCTTCTTATGACCGAGTTAGGAATTATAAGTCTAAGCATTTTAACGATACGAACCCTGTTTATGGAGCAATTGATGCATTCAACAGGACAGTGCTGAAGAACGCACATGATGTTGCAACAAGTGGATCAGGCTCTAAGAAGATAGCAGTCAGGCCAACATCAAACCAATATACTAGTACCTCTACTGTAGGGTTCTACCCGTCCATTAATAAGGGTCCGAAGGATAGGGCAAATGGGTTGAAGAACATCCTGGTATTTAGGAATACTTTCTCAAATAAGTTTCAACTTTAACTAAAATAAAGGGGTTTTGGGGTTTTGGGGTTTTGGGGTTTTGGGG